AAGAGGTCGATTCTCCTCTTTGTCTGACTGGCAAGTAAAGCTGCATGCGCAACACGAACCGTGATACTCAAGTAATTCTGGATGGCTCGGTTCAGCAACACCGGTGGTCCCATGGTTTTCATGGCGGTCGTCTGTCCGATTGCCCCGCCTCGGAGCCACTGGAGCTGCTGGTGGATCGCCCGTGGTCTTTGAGCTGGTGCTCTGCGGACTGGCGAATCCGCAATCGGAGCGCTACACGGACTGGCGACCGAACCCGACAACTGGTCCGCGTGCTTCTGGCTTCCTGAAAACAACAACCAACAGCCAAACGAAAAGTCAGGACACCAGCATGCGGATTGTTGTTTGACCCAGGCCTCTTAGCCAATTCACCTTGTTTTTAACCACAAAGCCGGTGGCTGAAACATGAAGAAACAAACACACCTTGTACATAGCCACGCTGACGTGCAACATGGGAACTTCAGCTTCGCTGATCAAGAATGCAATGCTGACCAGTTGCTGCCGTGACTCCACTTCAAACAAGTTCAGCTGTAGCAAATGAAATCTGAGTGAAGAATGGCTGGTCAAACCACAGGCTAAATCTCCCCTGCCACTAGCCCAATGATGCCCGCCTGCAAGTTGTCGGCCAGCTCTTGCTCCTAGCCGGTGGTACTGATGCCAAGGCCCCCCCCGCCCTCCCTTCTCCCCGCAAATGGCGCCACGTCTTTCCATCACCCGCCAGCGAAAGGACGATGCCTGAAAAGAAAGCGCGAATCGGGACCATGCCCGCCCACCTGCGGGAGTCCCTGAAATTAACGCGTCTGCCTCCAAACCGTTCCAAGCATGTCAAGAAGAGAAGCCACCAACATCCGCCATTCACAAGGTCAAGGGCTAACATATCTGAGAGCGACCTGGGTAACACTTGCGGGAGCCCTCCAAACAATCGGAGTGGGACATTCGGTCCTTGGCAATCCGAGAACAGTACTCTCAATCCATGGATCCTTGCCCTGCATTCGACCAACAGTCACTTCAAGAAACATGCAAACCCAAGGCCCATGGACGAAACGGGGTCAGGTCATCCCGGCTGACGCTGACCCCAAAAACCCCATGACACAAGCAGACCCTTTATTATGGTGGTTCTAAAGGGGGGGGGTCCTTTTTCTGGCACACACATTTTGCTGGGACAAACGCCAACTGACTAAACGAATCCCAGATGCAACCTCCCTATGCCCGCAGGTCTCTCGTTTCGCTTCATCCTCCGCCGACAAAGCTGAGGAGTGCCGCGAGGAGTGCCGCGAGGCTGACCTGCCAGCGCTCGTGCTCGCACGGCTTGCTCTGGAGGGCTCGGGCTGTGCAATGCGAATAGGGTGTGTAGCGGGCATTGTTTGTCGCCCCGTCTAACCTTACGCCATCTTCAAGCAGCTTCCAAAAGCGGCTCCAATAGACAGAATTGGCGCGCATTGGCAATGAGTGACGACGTGTTGACATGCGTGTGTGCTACCTGAAAACATGCAGAGCCTCAACTTCAATGAAGAAAGCCTTTACTTGCTAGGACTGCTAGGGCTTTTTCTTGGTGCAATTGGAACATGAATGCAAGCTCCTTGCTTTCAGTGTTGCACCCTCAGTCCCGTAACGTAGGCTCTAACCGCGGTGGAAAGAACAAACTGCGTGCCCCACCTCATGTCAAAACACGGCTGAATCTCGCAAAAAGGGGCCAGCCCACAGCCTTCCAGTTTGTCATCCAGAAAGACCTTAACTTACCAGACATCAACTGGACAAAAGGGACATCAAAAGAAAATGCAACTTGACTTGCCCCGCAACCTTCCAATGATTTTGGCAAGGTCTGGGTGCTCAACATGCAAAAAATGGTGTCCATCGCGGGGATCGGACTGGATCTTTGGGCTGGACATTTCAAATGGGTGCTTTCTCCTTGGCCGCCCTTCAAAAATACCAAGCAAACGGGGTCAACCATTTTAAGAAACCCACAACTCAGTGAAATATTCTCCCAAAACCCAAAAGCAACACTTTCGCCAGTGTCAGTTCGCACGTTTGTTCAGCCTTTCAGCCCGTCCGAAGCTCTATCAAAGCAAGGGGAGTTGCAGACTGGCCATGCGGGACGATGGATAGCACTTTCCATTGGTCCAGTGCGGAATCCTCTGCAAGGGTACCTTCCCATTCTTTCTATCCTTCTTTCCCATCCTCACTAAACCCAGGGAAAACGGCCAGCTTTCGAAAAGAACGATGCTTGAAAAGAATTGGGAATCACACCCGAGAGCTAACTAAACTTTCCTATTCTAAAAACCAGCTGCTCTGAATCAGCCGCTTGTGCCGCATCGTCACCGCCTGCGCCTTACGCCCCCGTGCTCGGATCCCGAGCTGACTGCTAGTTCGGCTGTGAGTGCGACTTTGGCTACGATCGCGCTCAAAGTCTGGCATGTCCTTGGCACGGAAAACTGCTGCGAGGAATTTTGGGCATGCTAAATCGTTGACATCTAGTTCGCTACCAATGATTCCCTTCACGCAAGCCCCTTTGGGCCTGCAACCAATGCTTCCTGACTGGCCGTCACTATCAGAGAGGGCAAGGTTGTTTGCTTGAAAGTGACACCTTTTAACTTGTTTTAAGCTATCGTCGTAGCACCCTGCAGAAGCCCGCCTGTCCTATCTATCGTCCTATGCTGTAGAAATCCCCTATCATAACCACAATGACAGCAGCCGGCCAGAACCCCTCTTAACATAGACACCGTTCCCGGGAATGCTACTGTAAAACACTCAAAAATCACTCAACATGATGCGACATCTTGAAGCTTGCCACCCGAGTCTTCGCAGAATGGTGGTCCCCTAAAATGGTTGGTGTCCCTTTGCCCTGCCTTTAACTACTTAGCAAAGGGGGGACCAGCATTTGAGAAACTCCTAATTAGCTGGGGTTAGAAGAAGCACGGGTCCTGAACATGTTGGGCATGTTTGCAGCCGAGATGCAAAAGAAGGCCCCAAGAAGGCGCATATTGCTGTACGAATAGCTAATGAGTCCCATTGACACTCGCTTTCGAAAGCAACAATAATGCTGATACCTCAACTTGAGAGCCATCAACGCTGGGAAGAGTTTCTCTGTTTGTCTTAGCAGAGTGCAATGGGCGGAGACAATTGAAATGAGCTGGCCAGAATCTGAAGTGGTGCAACTAGTCCATATAGTTGAGGAACGTCTGGCCAGCTCAAGTGAAACTTGCGCGCAGGTTCCCCTGAAACTTCCGCGGGTCCACGCAGGTTCTTTTGTTGTCGAACCGCTCAGGAGCTTTGCTTGGTTCCGGTGGTCTGGTGCTTGGGGGTGTGCCCAGCTTGGGGTGACTGTCTTGGAAATCTTGAGCCATGGCGCGGGCATTTTGGGCTTAATTACAAGGCACAGCAGAAAATGCAAAGACTCCAAGGAGTTGGATGTCCTAACACGTCTTCGGAATGTGTGATGCAGGTTGCCCAAGCGGGCTGGAAAGAAGAAAGATTCCTGCAGTAGTGCAACCTGAGCTGAAGCTCGCTTTCTCTCCAGCTGGACGTGTAGATAAGCATGTAAGATGGGAACCCAAAAACCATTCAGACCCCCACCCCCTTGAATATCTGGCCTTTGCGGCAAGACCCACTTCGGCAACGCCTCGACTTCCTTTTTGACACTTGACAGAGTGAGGACGGGGAAGCATGACATCAAACTTGCCGAGCAATGGGTTCGGTTCACGACTGCAGGCTTAGTAAAAAAAAAAAAACATCACAGCTATAGCACCTGCATTTCAACAATTATTGAGTAGTGTCATGCAGCATGTGTCCTGGCTCGTCATGGGTTCTGTTTCTATCTGTGGGCGTCAGCCGCGAGCCCAACATGTTTTTTGTTTGTGTGTGTGTGTTGCACGGATGACCCATCCCGTAACTACAATCTTTGCTGTATATAAAGCCCCAACAATGTTATAACCAGAAACCGATGGGGTCTACCAAAAAGCCAATCCCATACCCTATCAACTTGCAAAGCAGATAGATGAGCACCCAAAACCAAAACCCTAATATTCGCCGTTGTTCACATGTGCTTGTGAAGGGCATGAGTGAGGCTAACTCACATTAATGATCCTTCAACTTGTTTGGGAAAACAAGGTCACGCTTGAGTCGCAGCTGCAATTTGCTGAAATTTGCTCATGATGCGTTGGCCTTCCTATTTCGCAGACTTGTCCGCCTGTGTCTCTGCTAAAGTTTCCCATGAGCCACAGCAAGACAAAGACCCTTTGGATGCTTGGTTGTCTCCAAACACGGACAGCTCATCAACTGTTCTTGTTTCGTTCTCTTGAGCGCTGTGATCCTTTGCGTTTCCCACTTTTGCAGAAACATGATGTCCCTGGTTCCCACCGCTATCCTGGCAGGGCGAGCGGACCCCCATCTTCCTCAGTGCATGGACGTTGCAAACCCTCACAGTGCTTCAGATTCAATGACCACCAAACTTATACATACCTGGCGTGGGACCGACCAAACAAATCCATTTGGAAGACTCCTCTTTAGGGGGTTCATCTTGATTTTCGGGCGAGTATGGTAAATCGCTGCCAAGCCATTCCCCATCTTGAAATCAACTGCTCAGACCAAAAGCAAATCTGCACATCGGCTCCCAACTAGTTTGCACAAATAGCCCAAAACAAATTGCCGCTCCAAAGGCGAGCTGGGAGCGAAAATCGTGGCCCTTTTCAGCGGGTTCTCCGGGACGCAGCGCTCGCAGGCACTCGCTAGTGACCTGGAGTTGAAGCTTAATGAACCCTGAATGAGAAAACAAGGCATTTGCGTTGCCAGGGGGTGCTGAAACACAAGAAAGATAGAGCCACAATAAAATGAAGCGTGCAATGCTGGAGTTAGCTCCTGCCATTCTCAAAGTCACTGATCAGGGGCAGTCGAATGAAACAAATCCGACCTTCACAATATGGAAAATAGACTGCCCAACAACTGGGACTGAGTAATAAGGCCCGCCCTCTTTAGAAATATTCATAAATCGGGCCGAACATGTCTGCGTTGTGGCATGCTCACTAAGACTCAGAGGGCGCCGTCCGCCCCGCCCAGCCCAGCAGTTCGCCCAGTCAGAACATCCATTCGGAGCCTCCCAGGAACCCGTGCCTGACATGTTCGCATGCGCCACAAGCCACAAATGTGGGTCAAAGTTCAGATCGAACTGGACACCCCACTGTCCCCAGATTCCAAGTTCAAGTGCCTTGGGCACTGAAACATCTGAGTGTGTATATATATATATACACTTGCTGTATACTGTAGAAGGTTTAGGCTGCGAATGGTTCGTACAAAATCCAAGCACTGATGTGACCTTTCTGTTGCTGCTGAATTTTCATTATGTCAATAGCCTCAGTTCCTGCAAAGGAGCACGATAAGCATTTCATGATAGTGTCAAATAAAGTAAAACAGATCGCATTCGCTTGGGATGCCTTGCTAAGCATCAAGCACTTGTCCTTCTAGCTCCACACGTCTCGATAGATTCGGCTACAAGCTGCTCCTCAACATTCTGATCTGCGCTCTCATTGCAATTCCGCTGCGTAGCCGTGTCCAGACTCATTCTTACAAGCGTAAATCTTGCCAAACGGCAAGACCAACCACCATACATGACTTGCATATCATCAATATCGTCAGGAAGGACTGTGTCAGTCAAAAAGGCTTGTGATCTGTGCTGCTGGGATTCGAAAGTCCAACAAGAGGCAACTGGCATTTCGGAAGGGGTGCCATCGACTTGAGGTTCACCTGGGGTTCGATCGCTGCAGCGTTTCAGTGCGTCAACTCTGAAGGTAGTCTTGCGTGTTCTTGGAGGAAGGCCATGATCTGAACGCAAAGGTGAGGTGCAGCATGTTTCTTAAAGTGTCGGGATGTAAATATTCTTACAGGTGTCTAGTTGTCGCTTGGCCCTACGAACTCAACCGCCGCTTGCGAGCTGCCACGTTCTATGCATGAAGTCTCCCCCTCCCACCGATGGCACTCCAAGGCACATCTCTGACTTGGAAGCCTGGCCAGGACGAACTGGATCAAACACTTGACCTTCAGGTCACACATCTTGGTGGCGATTGCCCCTTCATTCTACGCGACACCCTGTTGGGCAGTGGTTTATGCGAGCATTCACAGTTCATCAATCCCAAGTGGTGCATGATGTCATGTATATCTCAGCTTTGTACTGATGCAACCATGGAAGCAGGAATCACGGCCTCACGAAATTCCAGTATCCCCGCATCAGCTCGGGAAATGGAAGGCGGAAGTTGGGAAGCCGAGTCTGACCTGAGGTGACTGACCACAAAAAACATCTCAAACTATTTTGAACATTTGGAGCCTGCCAAACTGATGGTTCACATTGTTAGTCTTTTCGTGTTCACCATTTTCGCATGTTGGTGTTTATCAAACTATTTCAGTGTTTGACCATTTTACCAATTCTGCCGATATGTTTCGAGCACTGTCTCAGGCTGTGAAAGGACTTCTGAAAGCACCCCAACAAGGTCAGGTTCATCAAACAAGTGTCGATCCAAAGGAAGGTGCGCCCCATGAAAATGCAACCAACAGCTGAATGCCCGTTCCTTACTTTGCCACTGTCGGTCAGGATAACAAATCGTCAGGTCAAGTGTGGACTCAGTTGCTGGACGTTCCTCTCTGAACCTTTGCTGTTAACACCTTCTACCCTGCTGAATCTCAGGATGTAAGCCCTTTTCAAACCCTCACGGGCGCAGGCCGACGTTGTCGCCTTGGCAGTGGACAGAAACTGCTGCAACATTTTGCCAAGCCTTGCGTTCAAAGATGGCCCGAAGCTGCGTGGTGCCTGCGATGCAGGGAATCTGTTGCATTCATGCCCTAGTGGCGGGAAGCACCTCCAAACTGTCAACGAAACCTTGGTTCATGGCAAAAATAATGACACTGTTGCTCTCCTGAAAGCTGCAGGGCCATGACCTATTATTTTGGCACAATGGACGAAAGCTTAGAGCTTGGAAATTGAACTGTGCATCATTTTGTCTTTTGTCTTACATCATTCGTCACTCCAACCCCCCTCCCCCACCCCGCGAAGAGTGGCGTTAACCCCCGCCTGGCCAAGCACTTTTGGGCAGTAACAAATAGCAAAGTAGCATCAGGAACAGGTCCAGCTCAAACCGCTTAAGTGGGTGCTAGGCACATGTAAGTTTGCATTGGCCCCTGCCGGCCGGGCAAGAGGCCAGAAGTGACGCTGCCTTTTCCTGAGCCTTGCCTTAAGCAAGTTCGCTTCATAGGGAAATGATAGCATGGGGCAAAACCGGTCAAACAGGGCGGGAACAGCTTCTAGTGGGGAAACGTGACCGGTGCAACCTCAAGCACCGCTTTGAGGCCAGCTTGCCAAACAACCGATAGCTCTCATCCGGAAATGTTCTGAACTGTCTGCAAAAAGCATCGTGGATAAAGCAGACCTTCGGAATTAGGACCCTGGTATAGAGATGTCTTTCCACTGGCGCTGGTGTCCGAGTTGGCCGCGTCCCACCGGACTCGCTTGGAAGGACTAGCCTTTGGTGGCTTTTTGGCGAGTTGCTTGGGGCCGGTTAATCAGGGTGGCGCTTGCTCAGATCTTAATGAGGTCGGGTCTTGCGTACATGAGTTTTGGTGGTTTGGGGCACAATCTCGATTAAAACTCGCTTATCCCACAATCTCAAAGCCGCTTGCTAAACCAGCCGCACACCTAGCACAAATCAACTCCAGCCTGGATATCAGCCCCTTGCCCAGCCTAAATTTACCCCAAACCAACCCAAGACCCGCCCTCGTTAAATCTAAGACAGCCTAAAACCCACTGTGATTCAACCAGCCCCGAGCATGCTGATTCTCTTCGGGTCAATTCAAGAACGTCACGTCAAAACTAGTTGTGCCCCTCCAACTGGTTCTCCTTTGACTTGAACATGGCCCAAAAACAAAGTTCCCCGGCTTTGACCATACCGAGTTCCGTATCCCATTTGGAGACAAGCCCACATTGGGATTCATGACCTTCACCATTCCTTTTCGATCCACCAAGCCATATTAACCGTCCTTCCAATGCACGCACATGTGAGCTGCCCTTAGACTGCAATCAATCCCCTTGTCTTCGCATCAAGATGTTTTCTGGACAATGCCTTCTGCTTGGCCAACAGTCAAGGCCGGGCTTGGACGGCTGCTTGCTTCCGACTTGGACTGTACCAAAAAAACAGATCAACTCCATGCAGCACAACATGCGGCGCAACGGGATGCGCCGAGCCTCGTTTTGGTCGCTCACTTCCGTGGCCAGGGTGCGCATCGCAGGGATGAGCTTCATCTGGCCACGGCTTGCATGAGGAATATGGGCTGGATGCGAAACCAGCAATCGGAAAGCTGCGATCTAAGGAGGTTAGGCGGAAATCATGTGAACCCCCCAACTGCCACCAAATCAGAACCAATAGGCAAAATCCAAGTGAGCCTGATGATGCTGGGGAGCCAACCAACCAGCCAGGAGTGAATGGCTTGTTTTTTGCAGGAGCCATGGACAAAAACTTGGCTTCTGGTGAGTGAGCTCGATCTTCTGGTAGTACTTGCTAAGTGTGGCCCATGCAATTTCCTTTCCAAGCGTACTTTTGAACGTAGCTTATACCGTACAGCAGGTATTTTCTAATCCATTGGAAGAACAAACTCCCAGGACATATGGGAGAAGCCGGGCCTGTGCCTTCCGGCAGCACTTCCATCCTCGGTGAACAAAACGAGAAAGGAAGCTTCATCACGCCCAGGAGAGGTAGCCATTGGCCCGCCTCAAGCCATCCTACGATGGCCGTTCCCCCCTCCCCCATTTACACAAAAGCCAATCTAGAGACCTCAAGGTCATCAATTCTGTCGGGGAAGTGCGAAGGGGTGCCAAAAGGTGGATCCCCAAAAAATCCGAAAGGTAAATGTCCAGAGCCCCAACCGGGATCAATATTGACAAGTGTTGAGGCCTTGGGCCTCGAACTGCGCTCGAATTTTGCTTCAAGGCAACGCTTCGATTGAAACAATGGGCACTGAAGCCCATGGTTTGACGGCCCTTGCTGAAGCAACGCACGGCATCAAACGACTCGGGTCTTCGCCAAGACCCCCCGCCCACCCGCCAACTAGGGAGGTGGCAGTGGCGGTGCATTCTGCCAGGCTTCCCTCGGCTGCAGGCGTTCAACAGGTATGCTCCCTCAACGTGAGACCCCTGACAAAGGGCCTTTTAAAAAGACAATTGTCTTTCAAGTCACCCTTTGGTACTAGTCTACTAGTCCACGTTGGCTGCTTCCCTCAGAGTGACCCACTCGTTACAAATTAGGCCGTGTCCGACGTCTGAATTTTGGACTGACAAACCTAACCTTCCCTGGCAGTCACTTGTCATGATTAAATTATGTTCTACCCAAGCGAAACCACACTGGGAACAATGGATTTTAGACAACCATACAATTTCAAACTAAGCCATGACCAGCCAATTTGACAATGGCCCACATGAGGCCCTCCATTAGCACTGGGAGCCCTATTTAATATTGTTGCGGGGGGCCTTAACAACCATAGGAATCAGCATTGCTACCGCATATTTGGCGTGGATACCTCACCATCTGACCACAGGCAAAAGGAGAAGGAAAAACTGAAGAAGAAAAAATCAGAAGAACAAAACAAAAAAACAAAAGCCCATCCTTGGCCCTTTGACCCGGGCCTGCCCGCTTTGCAGCGGGGGGTCGGCGCCTGCGCGGCCGCCTCACCTCAATCGGACTACAAAGGCTGGGACATGTCAAACCAATGGATGACCTACAAAAACCGGGATAAGCCGCCGAACGGACCAGTGACATTGAATTCCACACATGACTCCAAAAAACAGGCCTTCAGGACGGCCTGTGACAATTGGATGTTTTAGCAATGCATAGAAAATGGGGATGTACCTAAGAACATAAATGCCCTTTTGGTTCTTTCTGAAGTTGGCAGGCACTTGACCGACGCTGCCCTTGTCTCAGCTCATTTTGATTGTCAACTGCGCGCTGACTTTATGGCAGCTGCCTACGCTCGCTGGCTACAGCAAACTGCATGGCAGCGCGTGCTTGCTGGTACTCAGCACTGGGGCTCCTTGCCAAAACATCTGCTTTGACAAAGGGTCTCCAACTTCCCTGTATGCATCGCCCAAAGGAGTCACAAGGCCAAAAGCAATATAACATTCCCTGACAATGGCAGCATTGCTCGAATTGCTCGCAGATGCAACATGGGGTAATTAGTCCAGGGTGATCCAGGGCATTTGCTAGACATTGGCACATGCACTCGAATTCTCACGTCGCGGCAGCTCAGCGCACGAAATTCCGATCGAGCCTTGCAGTAGAGTAAAACAATGTCTAAGCCAACCGTGTACGCTCGCCTTACCACATAACAATGTCCCTCTAAGGAGGTTGTATGTAACTCTCGCTCATGAACGGCGTTAACCAAACAAATCGGTACCAACTTTGAAGGGCCGTGCACCACCAAATGAAACATGTTGGCCAAAGGCTTCAACAAATTCGCAAGTCGTAAAGTTTGAATGAAGTAGCTAAGCCGACGAATCAGCTCTCACTGCTGCATGTCGATGAGCTGCTCGGTGTCTTACTGCTCCTCCAATTCACACTTTTTGAGAGGAGGACCAATATTCAAGCTACGCATCATGAATAGTGCCAAAGGTTTTCTATCGCTTGCAAACATTTCTCCCCTCCCCTAATGGAAATTGGTAGGGTAAGTTCTTTTCTAGTTTCTGCAGCCATCTGGCTTAGTCGCGCGCTTGAATGACAAGTTGGGGATTCTGCAAATCTGTGGGTCTGCTACCCGCTTGTTGATGTTGCCACAAAAGATCGGCTTGGTCGCTCCCAACCTCCTCTTGGCTGCCATCCAATCGAGGACCCCTGCGAAGCACAGGTGCACAAGCTAGACAACCACGGAAACAGTTGATTAATGCAGCAACATGCCAAACACTGACTCACTTGCGGTGACTCAGCCGCTTGTTCAAGTGACACACTCAACGCCTTGCCCCAAAAACCATGAGGGGTTCCCTTCGGATTGTTTCTTGGGGGGAATGAATCCCTGAAAGCCACCACTCAATTTACTTTAGAGGACCCCCCTTGAAACGGGGACTTTTCTAGAGGAGACTCCATCCAACGATCATGGAAGCTCACGATCGGAGGGTTTCATTGTCTTACGCAAATCCCCAAAGGCGCACCCTCAAAACTATTTGTTGAAAGGCAGTCTCATCAAGACCCTGTTAATTGCAGCTTTCCAGTGACCCCTGCAAATCATCATATCACCAGCCTTCATATTGTGGATCCATTTGGGGCTGGGCCTAGCAAACGTGAAATCCTTTTTAAGGCGCTGTACATGTGGGTATTAACAATGCCCTCCCCCAAACCAAGATGGAAGCTCCCAGGACCCCTTTGGAAGACTGGGGTCCATTTACAGAGGCCTTCTGGGAGCTTCTTTGTTAGCCTGAGAGAGTGTAGATAAGTGAGAGAATGCAGAAACCACAATCGGGAACTTTGGGGCGAGGGGCAAATGTCAGCTTCTGTCGCGAAGCTCCCCAGACCCCCAGTGGCCATGGGGAAAAAGGGCAAACCCCTCAAGCAAAAAGGCAAAACGGGCAGCACTGGAGGTACCGTGGATGGTTGCGAAATGAATTTCGTCCAACCATCCACCGTATTTCAAAGTGCCAACCCGTCAATCTCTGGCGCCTTGCAGGCGCGAGCAATGAGCTGCAGATCCGCCGCGATGCGCTCCTCCACCTCAGGATTGGCCCAAGGTCCGGCCTTTTTCTTCCCAAATCTTGGCATGCTAGCAAAACAAACATCGCACGTCGTGTTCTGCAGCCCCACCACAAAAACTGAACAGAGCCAAACACAAGTTTCAAAAGAAATGGGCAAGACACGCAAAATGCATGCAAAGGACAGTGAGTTGATTGTTTGCCACGAAAGGTATTAAGTCCGAACACTTGGAAAGTGAGGGCGGAAGGGAACGCAAACGGTCCATCCGTTCGATTTGTTTGAAATCAAGAACTTATTGCATTCAGCACCCAGCCGCATGCCGCATGACGAACATATGAAGCCATACCACGGTTCAGACACACGAGGTGCAATGTCAGTCTTGGTTGTGGGATGGGAGTGGATGGCATACGACCCGATCTGTCTCAATCAGCGAAGGGCAATAATCCTGAATGATGGAGTGGGAAACATGTGCTTTCATCCTGCAAATTTACGCCCAACGTTCAGAGTAGCAAACATGGGAATCAGAAGAGCCGTCGAATATCCGAAACGCGCACAAAAACGAGTTTCGGACCGCGAAGGTAGATTAGAACAATACTCATTGAACACAAATAATTACAAAGCGGTAGTTCCTGGATGAGTTCACTGGCAGTGTCGCCGGTAAAAAGGCCCTGCACGCCCAATCTAGGTAGAGTTGATACACATGTTTGCGTGTTCTTTCTTTGGGTACTCAGTCGGGCCGCCCCGACTGAATTCGTGGGGGAAGGATCCCTGTGAATCGGCAGTTGGTGTCTGCAACAAACAAACTCCAATCCCAAACTCTCCATATATGCAATAGTTAGGAACATTTACCCTCCAAATGGGTCAACTATGGTCAGATGTTAGCATACATTACTAACACGGATTGTGTGGGAATTGGGAAACACTTCACCAACAGTCCGGCCCTTCTGCAATTCGCAAGTAGTCAAGAGCCAAGTCTTCCTCACTGAAATCTCATGCCCTGCTTTGGGATGCTTCTGAATTCTTACCCACGCGGCTGTCATTTCCCGGGCCCGTCTTGGGCAGGTCCAGTCAATCTGGTACTCCTGGCGTGGCCAACCCCAACTCTGCTCAATAGCCCCCCCGCACCTTGACATAATAAACCCTCAAAAGGCACTTGGATCATTCGCATATGCATTTGCAGGTTCTCTGGTCCAATGTCTCAACCCCTCGCCACAAAGCAACAACACCTGGCTTGCCAATGCTTGCCAGAGCATCTGGATTGGCAACACAGCTTTCCTACCTCTCAGGCTGGCGCGCTCGTGCATTCGGCCCAAGCATGTGCCAACTGCAGCTCCTTCTCAAGCTCAAATGGGCTGCTGTAGCCCCGGTCGCTGTCCTTGGTGGAACAGATGCAAATAATTACGTCCAATCACAAAGGCCATGCTTGAAACACGTACAGTGCCGTGCTGGAAGAGCGGCAACGCACTTCACCAGGGTCGAGAGCATCCCTTGTCAACGGCCATCTGCCCCCAACCCCAGATTCGCTGACGGTACCTTTTGGGCTGGTGCTGAAGGGAGGCCAAAGTGGAACCACCATTTTCCGGGGGTCCCCAATTTTGACGCAAAATGTGTTGCGCAACAACTGCCGGCCACGTTCAGAAAAGCGTTCCTGGCCATTGCCGGGCCACTCCAGCGAGGCAAAAGACCTCTAATGCTTGGAAGCGCCGTCCTGCCCATTGGGAAGAACACGGGGCAGCATGGGATTCGGGGAATGAAGCCCTCGGCTTGAGTGGACAAGAAACCAACGAAAACCGAAACCGAGTGTTGCAGGAAATTCACTGCTGGCTTGGCCAGAAACTGCCATTCTTTGCCGCTTGGGTTCAACCCCCCCCCTCTCTGTGGATTCATTGGAGCGCAGGCTGCATGGATAGGTGCTAACGCTGGTGGCTCCCTAACTTGCAGCAACATCTGCCAACTCCAGTGATTCAATTAGTTGAAGTGACGGCTGCCTGACACAAGCAAACAAGACCAGGGCGTTGCCTGCTTAAAACCAGCTCCTACACAACACCCAGCGAGCTTGCAGGATAGAGCCTGCACACTGCAAACAAAGATGGCTTCACGACCGGCCCCTGAACGCATCCACCAATGTTCAAGGTTTGCCCATGACGTCCACCTCCCCCCAAAACAACACAAACTGATCACCCGTTGAAGACATGACATGGGTATTCTCACATGAGGCCCTTTGAATCCAATCAAGAGGGGTCTGACATTTTCCGAAACTCCCACCTCCCGCCTGGCACATCAGATCTCAACTTGATAGGTCCCGCCTCGGCCACGCTCTTCCGGGGTGGCCTGGAACCTGGCCTCCTGAGAGCAGGCGAAAAGCTGCCACAACAAAGAGGCAAGTCACCAGATACCCCCGGAGCCTCTCACAGTGACCCCCCCTCAAAAGTCAAAATCATGTAAACTGAAGGGCTTTTGAATGCTTTTGACTTTCTTAACATCTTAATGTTCAAAGGAACGGCTGACGGTACGGCGAATCTTATGTCCTGGACGAACAAGCTGCTGCTTGAGGCGACCGTGGAACAGTCCGACATGGATCTGGCCAGTCGCCTGCCGTCGAATGCGCCCACTCGCCAAACGAACGCAGCCGCCAATTGTTTCACGCAGCAAGAACCGCCCAGCCCACACAAAAAATAAATAAAACACCAACAACATGGAGGAGACACACAAAGGCTCGGAGAAACACATTTTAGGGATCAAACACACCAAACACCAAATTGTGGAACTAGAATAGTTGGATGGCACAACATAGGAGTTCGAAACTTGCAGTGCAAAACCATCAAGAATACATTTCCAAATCTTGCCCATGCCGGCAATCCACGGCATTCCATGTCATGATCTAGACCTAGCCCTGGGAACCATATCAAGTTCTACGTTGGGGGGCCAGTAGATCGTGCGACCAGTATGGACGGAACCCTACAATTTTCAAAACTATGGCCCTCCTTCCCAGAATGCGCTCCTTCTGGAGAACACCCCACTGAGACCAGCCAACTCCACAAAGACCAAGTCCTAATATTGGGACAAGCCACCTACCAACTCGCGCGGAGAGGAGCCACACATATTTTGTGAGAAACCCGCCTGATGGAATTGGCTGATCCATTCTCATTGTATATCCACCAACCCCCCGTTTCTGATGGTTTTCGTATTAATACCTGGGATTACACCCTTGGGAACTGACCCATAATGGTTCAAATAACACGGTTTCATCCGGAAATGTGTCTAAATGGGGTCAATACCTGGTGGACCCTTAGACCGTTGGACCTCCCAGCCATCGGCAGGCGAGTGGCGCGCCTCCTGCGGCCCGCCGCCGCCAGCAGCGAGAGCACGCGCTGCTGCTCCGCGCAGTCCGGCGCCAGCAGCGTCAGCGAAGCCTTCGCCAGCGTCAGCGGAATGCCTCGGGGGAGATGGCCTCCAAAAACGGGAAAAAAACAGCCCGATTGGCGCAGAATTCGTCAACTTGATATTTGGTTGTTCAATAGATGATATTTTTAGAAATAAGCTCAGGCGATATCCCCAACAGCATGCGGTGCTTTTTTAGTGCTCGCACCATCCCGCAGCCCTCGCAGAGCCGTGGAACCCTCGTGGAACCTTGGTGGAACCCTGGTGGAACCCTGGTGGAACTCTGGCAGAACCCTTGGAACCCTGGTGCTTGCCCAGAATCGCAGGTTTCACTCGAGGAATGTGGAGTTCACATGCTGGCAAATGTCTTTGGTCCTTGAAGCCCTGCAGCTCCGTGAAATGTTGCGAGTCAATCGGCCGAGCATGGCTGAGGTTTCGACCCAGGGCTTAGCGGAAGTTCTTGCCAGGGCTTGAGAACCCCCAGCTATCGTGGTGGTACGTTGTGAGACCCCCTTGACTAGCAATCAAGTGGATATGTTGCGCCACGCACATAAGAGTGGCTGGAAAAAACCGATGCCGTACTACCCAATAAGATAGCAAGAACTAGGGGCACATCCATCTGGCACTATAGATCTCCACCATGGGGCTCGCCAAAGCAGTTCCCAAATGATTGACATGCAAATGAATGCATGGAACATCCAAAAACTCCGGCGCTTCACTTGATCAACTAAGTGATGTTCCCCTGATTAAAAATACACGCTGTCCTTCGGTCAGCAAGATTCTACAAAACTGTTTTGGGGGGTACCCTGGCACCCTGACTACTGCGGTGCTCTCCGGTCTTCCCCCTGGCTATTGGGATTGCAGGCAAGCAACATAAAATGCGTTGCCTAACTTTTCCGAGGAGAGGGTCAATAATATCATATCGTCTTTGTATGCCCAGGGAGGGGCTGGCCTTGAGAGGAGGTGCCGTTTAAATTCAAAAGCTTGTCAAACCTGGAGTTGAGTATATTGTAGTATAGGACAATTGCTGCTTCTGGCCGAGAAATTGGCAATCCTTGCAAAAATGAAAAGAAGCATTGGCCTCCTGATTTAACATTCCTTTGGGGCTGTTTGGGTGGAGACCAAACACGGATCAGGGTCACTAGTTTTGATTGAAAGTGGGCCAGGAAAAGCGGGCAAACTTAAGAAACAATGCCAGGCCTCATTCCGTTCCGAGTCTAGCCCTGCCGAGATACGGTACTGTGGCTGGCAAATGGCAGCCGCCGAGGCCGGAACTTGCTCAGGTACGGCACGTGGCTAGCAGGGAGCGCGCACAGGGTTGCCAGCATTTCGCGCGTCTCGCAATTTAGCCACTCTATATTCTACCCGACGGAAGCAGCTGTCAAATATTTGCTGCAAACGCAGCCCCATGTCAGCACTACCACAAGCACGGACGATCATGGACGATGCCAATGCGTGGTCTGCCTGACACAGGACTCAGGTGCTGCGCAGCCAATCAACGCGCTGAGCTCCTTGCTAGGAGCCCTCCAAGTGTCCTCCCTAAACACTCCATGTACGCAAGCTTTACTCATATCTACCCTGCCAATGGGTCAATAGGTTGGTATCTACTACCAACATGGATTGTGTGACCGGATGCACGCGCACCCGGAGCCTCATGTCTCTCCTGAATGTCACGGAGGTCCGTGAACGGGATCGGCTTGCACAGCGGTGATCCAGAGGTGTTCGAGTAAAATATCACCTGGTGCAAAGCTCTCTTGCTGGAAAGACGCAGATACTGTGCATAGACGGAATCTTGCATCATCTTGACATGATTCCCCTGTAAATGCAAGCGAAGACTGTTTCTATTGGCTTCAAAAATTGAAACAAGGGGAATCCAGTGTTTATTTCAAAGCGGTGCAGGATTTCGTCCATCCACAGTGGCACGCACCAACATTTAGACAGGTGCTCTGGGCTTAAACCGGCGGTGGGGAACAGCGCATGGTGCGGCCGGGGATACCTCTTTGGCCGGCTCGCGTCACGAAGCAACCAAGAAACTTCCAGGCCACCAAACCCCCTGTTGCCAAGTCCAAGCTTACCATCTACCAGCACCCACTGAAGGTCTGATCCATGTCTTGCCAACATAGCCAACATGGCATCGTACATCGGGGGCTCCCCTTCCGACACGCCAGTGTTGATGCAAAAGGCCAGCGCTTAGGCCCATGCCTCCTTGTCAAAGTCGATGAAGAGCCATCGGTATCCTGCGTCTTCTTGCTTTGCGAGTACCGTCAATTAAAAAAAAAAAAAAAAAAAAAAAAAACGTAAATGGTGATTTGTTGGTTTGAGGTCCGGTGGATGCCCGAAGCAAACTGCTCAACTGCAAAGCAAACATCCAAGTTGCATCAGAAAACAGTGGTCATACCGTCATACCTATGTCGCCCATGTTCTGCCTGTCTCCCTTTGAAGCCTTTTGCACTCCACACACCCTTCAACAAGCCATTGGAGAACACGGAACCCGGTCCTGACACCCATGGCCAGGGACTCCGACTTCGCAGCACCGGCAGCACTGACAAGAAGGCCTTGTGAACGCCTGGGCTGGTTTTTGAAGAAGCTGTTGAGTGGCGGATGGGGAGCAAAAGGTGGAAAGCAGCCAGGAATGACTAAGGTCTGTTGGGAAGCAAAGGCATATGCGTTTCGGAAGTTGGGCGGGTCATCACGCGGGATTCCAAGACTCACAGCCGTCCGAGAGTTATAGGAGCGGTCTCGGAAGGCTGTGGGGGGCCGAGCGATCAGCCCCGTCCATATGTCCGAGTTTCTTCCAAGATCAAATGTCAAATATCAGAAGCAAGCCATGAGATGCACGAAGCGGTATCTCCAAGGCATGCTGACCCTGCACTATCAAACCAGGCAATTACAACCAGGACTACTGCACAAACAGTTGCAACACAGCGCTCTTCCGCTGACCTCGTGACATGTTCTAAAGCTTGCATCAGAAAGCGCCCTGGCCTGAGTAGACTTGCTTGTTGCCGTGGCCCATCCACGGATCAAAAGCGCCTTCTTGCCGGACACTGTACTCCAACGGGGCGCCTGTACATTGGGCCAACGGCTGCGGACCGCGGTAGCCAAAGCTCAGCGGCCAGGACACGACTTCCAGCTGTAGGCCCTGCAACCAACTCCTTTAGCCAGTCAATAGGCAACTCATGGCAACTCAACAACGCAAGCTGGGGTTGCCCTCAGCCAGCAACAGCCCACCCCAGGCTTGAAAATCAATTCATGGACGTTCAACTTACCTTCGGTTGGACTACGCTCCCACTTGTAGGGCGGGGTAACCGCAAACACAAAGCCCCGCCAAGCCTGGAACTCAAGTGCAAAGTGCGTTGTTGACCAGAATGACAGGTTCCAGAGCTGTGAGTGGCGTGCTGCATGAATCTAATACGCTGCAGAACCTCAGCGTTTGCATCCTTTCACAAATGCAAGTCGGCAACCCGAACGCATGTACAAAAACAACTCCATGCAAGGAGCGACACGTTGCGCCGACATGACTTGGGAACCTGGCATGCCTCATCCTGCGCAGTAGGTTCCTGCGAATGGGGCGAAAACAAATAAATGAGGAGCTTGATGGAAACACCGGTTGACAAGACACAACAAGATCAGGCCACTGGACTTGTACGTGCCCTCATGCCAAACATCAGCATGCGTTGATCATATGCAAACCATGGGTTGACCCCACACGCAAGAGAATAGACCCTTTGAACTCAGACTTTGACTGGTGCGCGGGCTAACCAAGGTGCACTCCCTTTCCAGCTTTCCAGTCAACAGCTGGCTCCCATGGCCTTGTGGCAAATGGCCATTGGCTGCATGAAAGGCAGCCAAATGGCAATCAATTGATGCACGACCTTCCCAATGCTAAGGGATGCAGACGAGCAGCTCCGGCAGCTCCAGCCAAACAAAATAAAAGCAAAACATGAACCATAATGGAATCGTACGGCTAAAGCGATTGGCACCATGACACGGATGTCTCCATTCAGACTTTTGCAGGGCCGTGGAAATACGAATGGCAATGCCGTGCAATTTTGATACAGCTTCTGATAGACCACTAGGCGCAAATACAATCGGCAGCCTTCAAAGCGTCCCAGCGTCCCTGCCTGCCGGCTTAGCTCAGCCTGCCAGGAGGGATGTCCACGATTCCGTGTTTCCCCCCTTATGCACGTCTTCTGTTTGGGCATCGTCAACTATTTCAGCTCAGACATTTGATTGGTCCATTGAATCCATTGTGCCCTGCAAACCAACAGCAACGAGGCAAGCCCAGCTCATTGCCTAGTTGTGCCAAAATAGGAAAGCCTCACAAAACCAACCAGCCGTTGCAAACGCAATCGCTGTCCGAACGAGGCCACGCGAATCAAATTAAATCTAAGTCCCTAAACTAGCAACACACTGCTTGCCTCACATGTCACAGAACCCGGAACACCTAAGACATACAGGAACAGCGAGTGTGGGGTGTCCCGCAAATTGGCGGGGGGGGGGGGCGGGGTTGAGTGTGAAACAGGAACCCGCAAGGTATTGCTCCCAAAGATCCACAATACAGAAGCTCCTCACAACTAACCAGGTTTCAACAGAATGGTTTTCGCAACGCTGCGCAGGCTGCGCTTTGTACGAAGTTCGCAGATCCAACGCCATACGTGTTGTTTACACCCTTCCTTTTTCGCACTGTATTTCCAGCAGGTTGTGGCTTCCAGGGGCGAACTGGGAGAACATGAGTCACAATCAAAACCTGGTATTAAAATGGTCTACCCAGAACCATGTGAAGAATTAAGAAGGCGGCCGCAACTATTTCTGGCTGGGACCGCTCCTTACTAACCTGCATCTACCCGGGTTTTGAGCACGTGGCTCACATGAGAAAAACACAAGTCACACCCAGTTCGGGCAAAAAAACGCATCGCTCCCACTCACCTTTCGAGCGCCGCCTTCACCTCCGCCTTGGCATCTGCCAGTTCCTTCTCCACGGCGGCGCGGAGCCTATCTTGCGGGATGGGGAAACGGGCCTGAAAGAATGGGGGTCCATTGATATGGTGGATGCCCCGTATTCCGCGTTCCCTGCAATATGTAGGGCATTTGCCGCACTGTGGATCGACACTATCCTGACCAGTTGGAATGGATGAAGCCCTGTCAAGACCGGAAAGACCCACCTGTCAACAGGTGCAGGATTTTGTTCCTCCGCCGTATCTAGCCGAAATATGGTGAAATATTATGTTGCACAAATCTGAACTAAGACATGAACTCAAAGGGACCTCTGTGTGAGCCGCAAATCTAGTCTCAGCCTTGGGGCTGCGGGGTTCGATGCGGCTCATCGTTGAAACGCAGCATCATCCTTCGTTGCATCAAGTAAAGCACAAAGTTGAGCAGATTGCGATTGAGCCCTCCAAAAGATGCTCAACGCAGGATCGAGAGCCTCAGTGTTAAACGGAGTGCGCTAGCAGCATGCCAACATGTGAGGAAAAGTGGGTGCCAAGAAGAACCTCTTGGGTGCTTGTTTCATTCACAGCCGACTCTCAAATCAAATCCTCAAACCCAGTTCAACAAAGTGCGGCCCTCTTCAAGTGAACCTGCCTTGCGGTTCATACCACAAAGGCTGGCGACAAAAGCTGAACCTGTAAGGACATCGCTTAAAGGGAAAAGGACATGTACCACTTACCAAACGGGGCTGTCATCCAAGTGGAGGTTGCACTGCTATTCCGCAGCAACCTGGATGTCGAAAACACACCTAAACATGATTCCAGCAAGCCTTAGGTCAACCACTTGTTCTTGTGCTGATGGTTTGTGGATTGCAGGATGCCCATTCACGTGTGTCCAACAGGGACCTTGCTGCCGCCTGTCAGACACAGGACTGCCAGCCTAGTTTAAAGGTTGATGCTCTTACTCAAATCTCCTGTGGCCATGATCTGCAAATATGGGTCCTTGGGACAACATCTGGAAAATCAGCCTTGGAGAGAAGCACTGAGCCTCGAGAACCCAAGAGTAAAACCATAGCAGGGGCTCCTACATTTCAGGGTGAACCCCCGGTTGAGTGAGCAAACTTCATTGCTACCTTGGGGATGCTTCCCTCGTCTGAGGTACACAGAAAACCTTTACTTTAGCCTACTTAATACTTAAAAACGACATATTTCTGAAGGAGACCTCAACAAACTCCTCAGACTCGTGGCCATGGTTCCCAGAACCCTCATTCCTCATGTTTCCTTATGGTCATGGCGAACGGCTCCCTTGGTAATCCTCATAGCCGTGGCCTCCAACAGGCCCTACCAAGAATTCTATGTGGTGTCAAATTCTCTTTGGGTCATAGTGGCTCCCTGTAGGACCCTCCGGCCCCAGCCTTTGGAGTGTGCGCTCCGTGAGCTCTTGGAACTCCCACCGTGCTGCTTGTAGCACAGCCTGGCAGCCCATAGGGAGCCAGAGTTCCTGATGGTTTCCCTGTAAAGCAACCTTTAAGCGGTTGAATCGCCCTCAAGCACAAACATAAGCACACTGACACACACACCCTCACACACACACACTTACACGAATATATATATATATATGTATATATATATACACATACATATGTGCACAATATGATTCACACACATATGTATAATTACACATATAGATATTTTCATACTCTCATATTGGCATCCTCGATAGTTCATCAGGAATCAGTACATTGCTTGTCAGGCATTAAACATACCAAGTGGCTAACGAAAAACCAGTCGTCTTGTTGCTGAATTCCTGTAACGGCGATTCTGCGAGAAACAATCAGTTATAGTACGAAGGGGTGTTACTCAGAAGGTGGCACCCTCCAGTTGTGTTTCTATATGTGTGCTATTAATTTGCTATGTGTGTCTATTGGTTGTGAATGGGACCGCATGGCTTGGCTGCAACCTCGAATAGAACCTCAAAGCACATGTTCGCTATCTCGTTTTTTTGGAGGGTTCCGGCGAACAGCTTCTGAGGCATCGCACAAGGCCTACATCAAGCGGTGCTCATGTCTTGGTAGAGCATGTGTCACGATCCACCTTTGCGCCCACGAGCTGCTCCGCTCGGAAGGTTTGAGGCTGAGTCGGAAGGTATTGACTATGTAATTATGTTGGTACAACTACGCCCTGACGCAACATCCGTCGATGAAGGCGTTGAAAAAAAGAGCCATAGAGAAAAGGACCTATATAGCTTCTGAACGCCATCTAAAGTGAAAGTCAGCCAAGTCCAGTCAATTGCTTGCTTCATGTGCGCCCTCAGCCCTTCAAGATCTCTGGGAAAATTGGCACCTCCACCGCCATCGTCACGTGGCGCCTCAGACGGGCATGCCGGCTCCAAGTTTGTGGGCGCAAACCTTTCGACCTGTCAGGCCAAAATTGGGCCAACATATTCCTGTTGAAACACCGATGAGTCATACAATATTTCCGACAAAAGGCCAACAATGTGCCTACCCAATGCTTTTAGACTTGCGCGCATGGTGTTAGCCAAACGCCAATGTGCAAACTCAACGCCGTGGGTTAAATGAGCCTAACATCCACGAGCAAGTCAAACACAAACGCCATTCAACAAAAAAACGCGCAGCCCTGTTGATTCCTGTCAACGGGATCCTTGCATGATCCATCGATCGATGTGTTTGGTAAAGGCAAAAAGGGCTGTCAAAGGCCAGTCAAAACACTTTGGGCGCTGCTGAATTTTTCAGCCCCTCTGTCCAAGCCGACGATTCCTTGCACGCTTTTGCTTTTAGATTGCTCGCTTTCGGCGCCTTCAACCTGGGGGCTTCCACGGAGCTTGAGCCATAGCTTGGAAAAAAAGGGCAAGGTCCAGCTCTGAGGACGTGACCTCTACGACTCTCTTCCATGCACCTTGAGCCTCAATGGCCCTGCGAGCATGGACCTTCTCTGCCATGTTCAGTGACTCGGCATTCCGGTTGATTGGCCATAGGATTGAAATCCAAGCAATCTTCAGACTCAAGCAAGGATGAGGAATGGGATGGCATGTTTTTGCCTTCAAAAGGCTGCCAACCTAGAAAGGGAAAGCCGAGCGGTCTGTCTCAAGTCACGGAGCAATGCCTTGTTGAAGAGCAGCAAGCACGGCCAGTTCAGGGAGAATCAGGGTTGCCAAGGGCCATCAAAATGGGAGTAGTTCCCGCACCCCTCACATCCTTGATCCCCCAAACTCACGTCATTTTTTGTCCAATGAAGCATGCTGCAGGGGCTTTTCTGGTCGCAGGAGCTCAGCGTGGTGGCCCGTCACCCATAGAGCACATCCTGGACATCATCGGCGTTGCCTTGCCAATGCACATGTCTGGTGCTTTCGTCTGCCGTTTTTGGGACATCTGCAGAGGCTTTGGTTTACCTCAACGCCAAGGGTGGCAGCTTGCCAAGAAAAGTACCAAAGCCAGTCAACATGAACTGAACAATTTGGATGGCTGATGGTTGGACCTGGACTTGTTTAACCAGGTTTTCTCATAGAAGCCGCTGGCTTTTTGAGAGGTGCCCATTTCAATGGTAACGGCGCCTGTAGGCCGCCAGCACTGTTGAGAGGTCTTTCAAGGGTCTCTTTAAAGCAAACCACCAAAAAACGCAAGGCTTTGACAACCTGAATGAAAATTGTTGCTTTTGCAATGTCCTCAAAACCGCGCGAGTGCGCCCCCAAAATGGCATCGGCCAGCGATTCGTCTAGGCGAAAGGCTTTTTCTGACAAAAAAGGCTGGTCCAAACTTTCGTTCTTCTTCCACAAGCCCACTTCTTGTGAGTGTTTGTCGGCACTTGAGCGTGGGTTCTTGCCATCTGTGGGCATGGATGCATTGATGAGCGGGTGCTTCTAGCCATCTGTGGGTATGGATGAGGAGCGGGTGCGCTTGATGCTTACCATCTGTGAGCATGGGTGTTGATGAGCGGGTGCACTTGTGTGTGGGTTCTCACCATCTGTGGGCATGGATGCATTGGCGAGCAGGTGCACTTGAGAGTGGGTTCTTGCCATTTGTGGGCATGGATGCACTGAGGAGCGGGTGCACTTGACTGTGGTTTCTTACCATCTGTGTGGGCATGGATGCATAGAGGAGCGGATGCACTTGAGCGTGGGTTCTTAGCATCTGCGCGCTTACAGGTTGCCCGGGCCAACAACAGGTGCACCTGAACCCGGTCTAGCCGCTGCGCTTGTTGCGCCCGCCATGACTTGTTCACTTTTCTGCAGGGACAAAGCTGCTGGCCGGAGTCAACGGGCGCCGCCACCATTTCAATGGCTGACTCGCCAAGTGGCGAACCAACGCCTTGACCACAGGCTCACCGACCAAGAACGCTGCCTCACAGGCAACCTCCAGGAAGAAGTCCTGGGCTGAGGTCCCTTGCTGGGGTCCGGGCTGAAGGGGTCCAGCATGATGCTCCACTATACTATACATTCCAGCTTTCCATCTGTGGTAGTGGCCAGAAAGCGTCCCAGTTTTCAAAGGGTTGCAAGCGAATGTCAAACAATCGCCATTTTCGTCCCTCAGAATTGATTGGGCCATATGACCTCCGGCGGGGGGAGAGTTAAGGTGAATTGCCATAACTTCGTCTGCAAGTCGCCATGTTGGGTTCTGGGCTGCGGCCCGGCGGAGGCTCCACAAAGTTGCTGGTGCTTCCTGGGTCACCCGCAGGCACGTGCATTGCACAAGCTAATGGCAAGGTCACGGTGCTGATTTTGGGAAAGCAGTACACTGCATTGAACATACATGGCGCAACTCCCTTTATGTGGGTAGCAAAAGGGATGTTGAAGTGATTTAGTTCAATCCCAAACTGGAGAGATACGTCATCTGAATCTGCTTTCACCCAACCTGGCAAATGTGACCTGAACCTTAGGCTGCCAGTAGTCTGAGAGGCAACTTGGTTGCCTGCCCTTCGGCCTCCAACATTTTTTTGGAGGCAACTTCTCGAAAGTCCGAAAGGATCAATTCGAGAAATTCCTTCAGTACGACAGTCAACCAAGAAATGGTCTCACCCGTAACGAACAACAGACCGTCGCTCCATCGGCCGTGCGTCTCAGTACCAGCAAGGCCTCAGGCCCACGGCTGCGTCCCAGGCGCTGCAACGCTGCCAAGGCCTGCCACACACATCTGCCACGAAACTGCCCTTTGAATCGCCGTGAGGAAGGGATCTCACTTGTATCTCATAGGTGAGCGAGCGTTTGGAGCACTGCGTGGGTTAACGAGGTGCCGAGCAAGCGCCACCATTCGCCAGCTTGGAGAAGCACCTGAGTATTCAGTTCTTGTGTGGTCCTTTGACTTCCATTTACTTTTTCGCCCCTGGCAAAATTGCAAATTCCAGCATTGAATCGATTCCTTCAACCAGCCGAATGGAAAATAAATAAGCAGGTCACCAGGTCTCCCTTTTCAGCAAATGGAAGTTGGTGAACATGGAGATTCTCATGCCCACCCGCCGCTGCTGGTTGCCGCGCCTGGGCCGTTGCAAAGTCCTCCATGGCCGAGGCAGCGAACTGCGGCACCCCCTGCGCTGAAAAGCGGATGCCGAAGCCTTTGGGCGGAGTACCATTTCTTTATGGGCGTGTTTGTTTCGAGGGTACCCCTTTTTTGGTAGTGTTTAAAGTGACACCAAACGGAAGACGACCATTTTGGGGGGTGAGGAACTCCAGGGTCAAACAATTGGATCACACCCGAAAGTACGTGTGACGGGCGGAGTCTCACGCGGTGCCAGCTTCACCGCATGAACTGGGATTTCTTGGGCGTGAGCACGTTTGGACTGGGCTTCTCGTCAAAAAACACCCCCGTTGCCTGCAACATGTTTGGTCTTGGCGCGGTAGACAAACAAGTTCCCCACATGCGCGTGAACGGTAACTATGCCTGTGATATCTGCTCTTGGGAGCTCCTCACACAAGCTCCCCTGCATGCCCGCGTAGTTATATGCCTGCAAAATCCTGCGTGTCAAAGTGCTAGGTCTGAGGTTCTCATCACAACAGGTTCTTGCCAGCGAATTGGCATTGTTGGTCTGGAGTTCGCACAAAAAGACATACGCTCGTGCATAAAGCACCATTTTGGCCTGGGGGTTGCGCCAACAAATGCTCCTCCGATGTCTGCGTTCTCATCACAAAAGGCCCCGGTGTGAACATGCAAAGCCATCTCTGGTCTGGGAGTTTCCTGCCCTGGCCAGGGTTTAGCGGAGGAATAATGTTAACACCCGATTAATCATGGGCCAGTCAATAATTGAAAGTGTTTGTCCTTACTATGGTCCGCCCCCGTTATTGATGGGGACCAGAATGACTGAAAGTTGTTTTGCCCGGGAGGAAAATTCAAGACATATCCACAAATCAATTTTAATTAAAAAACACATCCCCGCCAGCCCCCCCTCCCAGAAAATAAACTCTCAGTTGCTTTACTCAAAAGTTTCGGTTGGTGGCCCACTTGCTTAAAAGCATCCCCTTTCAATTGGTGGCCCACTTGCTTAAAAACATTCTCCTTTGAATTGGTTGCTCAAACACAAAACCCAAAGCCAGCTGAAGCCTCTGAAAATTGAAAACCACCCCCAGCCCTGAAACTGCAAATTCTTTATTAAACCGTGTTGAAAAGATGCAAAAAACAATCAGGACAAGGGTGCCCCTCACAGACCCGACTGAACCACAACAATGCGTTCTTTCGGGGGACCACATTAGTCTGCAAGCCCCCAGCCCCCCCTCCCAGAAAATAAATTCTCAGTTGCTTTACTCAAAAGCATTCCCCTTTCAATTGGTGGCCCACTTGCTTAAAAGCATTCCCCTTTCAACTGGTGGCCCACTTGCTTAAAAGCATCCCCTTTCAATTGCTGGCCCACTTGCTTAAAAGCATCCCCCTTTGAGTTGGTTGTCCAAACACAAACCTAAAGCCAGCTGAAACCTCTGAAATGTGAAAACCATCCCCCTCCCTGGCTCAAGCTCAAGCCCTCCTTGGCTGAAAGGCACACCCTTTGAATGGCTACAGAAAACTGACATGACTGCAATACTAAAGTAGTATTCCAAAAAGTCTGCTCAGGAAGAAGTGGTTGCAATACTAAAGTAGAATTGCAAAAAGGAAGCGGCGGCAATACTAAAGTAGAATTGGGCCTCAAAATCCTCCATTGTTTGGACGTCCCAAAAGTGAGCCTTCATTGTTGAGGGGGGGGGGCCTTTATCAATCAAGTGCCAACATTCGCGCTTCCGTTTTGTAATGTTGGACTCTGTTTAGTGTGACCCCCCCCCCCCCCTGGAACAGTGGAACCAGTCGGCGGGACTCTCTTTAGGGAGATCCTGGGGGATCTGGGAGGGACAGTACTTACTTTAGTATTGCCTTCTACTTTAGTATTGCCAAGGCCCCCTCTCAGATTCCCAGTACTGACTTTAGTATTGCCAATTCTACTTTAGTATTGCCAAGGCCCCCTCTCAGATTCCCAGTACTGACTTTAGTATTGCCAATTCTACTTTAGTATTGCCAAGGCCCCCTCTCAGATTCCCAGTACTGACTTTAGTATTGCCAATTCTACTTTAGTATTGCCAAGGCCCCCTCTCAGATTCCCAGTACTGACTTTAGTGTTGCCAATTCTACTTTAGTATTGCCAAGGCCCCCTCTCAGATTCCCAGTACTGACTTTAGTGTTGCCAATTCTACTTTAGTATTGCCAAGGCCCCCTCTCAGATTTCCAGTGCTTGCAAATGGTTGAGATGAGCTGTCCCCTTAGCCATTTTCTTGCTCTTGCTTTTGCTTAGCTCCAGCCCGTGTTCACTTTCTGCTGGCTAAGTGTCTCAGCTGCATTTGTTTAGCTTGATTTTAGTTTAAATAGCCATCCCTCAGCCCAGGCCATGAAGCAGCACCTCAAGAGCGTGGTCTTCATCAGCTTCCTGTTGCTGAGTGGCATCATTGCTCAGAGCCACTGTGCTGCAATAGAGGGGGGGGGGGAGGAGGGAGGGGAAGGGATGGGAAGGGAAGGCTTGAGTTTCCTAAGAGGGCTTTATTTTGAAGGATTTTTCTGAGAGGGTTTAGTTTCAAGGGTTTCTCTGAGAGGGCTTCAAGTTTGAAGGGGTTTCCTGAGAGGGGTGTTTGAGGCTGAGTTTTGGTGCTGAGGGCACTGAGTTTGGAAGCTGAGCACCTGCAGCCATTTCTTGCTCACAGTCCTCAGCTTACTCCTTGCAGCTGTGCTGAGCAACGTACCCTCAGATGATTCCTCCTGCTCCTAAGCCTGATGCTTTGTTTGCCAGCTCAGTCAAGGGCCCTAAGACCCAGCTCACCTTCAGCAGGGTTCACTGGGCTGAGCCTGAGATCTTCTGTGCCCATTGCAACTCAGCTGCCAAACACAGACATTTTAAGCTTTTGGCTGACCATCTTGCTTGCTTAATTTCTTTGCTTAGTAATGTACTTAAGGCACCAACAGCTTATTTAAGTCTCTGTGTTTGATTTCTTTGCAAGTAAGGTGCTGAGGATGGCAAGCAAACTAAGCTTTGGCAAGCTGAGCAAATCTATGAGTACCACAAGAAGGTACTCACAGTGGCTGAGAGGCTCCCTTGGGCAAATTTCCTAAGGTACGAGCTTCAGATCATCCCTAAGCCACTTCATTCAGGAGGTATCTTTGGAGGGATCCCCTATGCTGAGCCTCCTTCTCAGCACTCCAAGTTCCCTGAGAGCAACAAGGCTGAGGAGGAGAAGGCTGAGGAGGAGCCTGAGCCCTTTGACATCCTCAGTGAGAAGCTCAGCTGTGTGGAGGAGCACATTGCAAAGGCTGAGCAGACCACTGAGGTGGCCCTTGGCTTTTTCAGGGGCCACGGCTTTGGAACAACTTGCAAAATGGATTCCCTAAATCTCAGGCCTTTAATCTTTGAGCTGGGGAAAGCTTGGGATGAGCCCCCCCTTTAAACCTAGAAGGCTAAGGGCTTGAGTTTTCAGTTTCCAGCAACCCCCAAACCCAGGTGAACATTAAAGAGGACCCCAAAACAGTCACACTAAAGAGGGTCAGGGCATCCTGTGGGCACACCCCTTTGTGGGATTGATTGCCCTCACTTTTTTGTAAAGAAGTTATCTTAAATTTGATGGTTTGGGAACAACTTGCAAAATGGATTTCTTAAATCTCAGGCCTTTAATCTTTGAGCTGGGGAAAGCTTGGGATGAGCCCCCCCTTTAAAACTAGAAGGCTAAGGGCTTGATTTTCAGTTTCCAGCAACCCCCAAACCCAGGTGAACATTAAAGAGGACCCCAAAACAGTCACACTAAAGAGGATCAGGGCATCCTGTGGGCACACCCCTTTGTGGGATTGATTGCCCTCACTTTTTTGTAAAGAAGTTATCTTAAATTTGATGGTTTGGGAACAACTTGCAAAATGGATTTCTTAAATCTCAGGCCTTTAATCTTTGAGCTGGGGAAAGCTTGGGATGAGCCCCCCCTTTAAAACTAGAAGGCTAAGGGCTTGATTTTCAGTTTCCAGCAACCCCCAAACCCAGGTGAACATTAAAGAGGACCCCAAAACAGTCACACTAAAGAGGATCAGGGCATCCTGTGGGCACACCCCTTTGTGGGATTGATTGCCCTCACTTTTTTGTAAAGAAGTTATCTTAAATTTGATGGTTTGGGAACAACTTGCAAAATGGATTTCTTAAATCTCAGGCCTTTAATCTTTGAGCTGGGGAAAGCTTGGGATGAGCCCCCCCTTTAAAACTAGAAGGCTAAGGGCTTGATTTTCAGTTTCCAGCAACCCCCAAACCCAGGTGAACATTAAAGAGGACCCCAAAACAGTCACACTAAAGAGGATCAGGGCATCCTGTGGGCACACCCCTTTGTGGGATTGATTGCCCTCACTTTTTTGCAAAGAAGTTATCTTAAATTTGATGGTTTGGGAACAACTTGCAAAATGGATTTCTTAAATCTCAGGCCTTTAATCTTTGAGCTGGGGAAAGCTTGGGATGAGCCCCCCTTTAAAACTAGAAGGCTAAGGGCTTGATTTTCAGTTTCCAGCAACCCCCAAACCCAGGTGAACATTAAAGAGGACCCCAAAACAGTCACACTAAAGAGGATCAGGGCATCCTGTGGGCACACCCCTTTGTGGGATTGATTGCCCTCACTTTTTTGTAAAGAAGTTATCTTAAATTTGATGGTTTGGGAACAACTTGCAAAATTGATTTCCTAAATCTCAGGCCTTTAATCTTTGAGCTGGGGAAAGCTTGGGATGAGCCCCCCCCTTTAAAACTAAAAGGCTAAGGGTTTGAGTTTTCAGTTTTCAGCAACCCCCAAACCCAGGTGAACATTAAAGAGGACCCCAAAACAGTCAAACTAAAGGGGGTCTAAGGGAAACATGTCCAGGTTAAGCAGTTGAGGGTGAGAGGAGGAGGCCCTGAGCACAACCAGCTGGTCCCAGCAGAAGAAGGAGCTGAGGCAACACCACCCAAGCCTAAGCAAGCTCAATTTGGCTTGAGCAAGTTCTTTGGCAGCCCTGAACAAAAAGCAGCAGCTAAGCCAGTGGTGCTCAAACCTAAGCTGCCATATGAGAGATACACTCTTTC